AAGCCTTTATAGGGTTATGTAAACAGTTTGTTTTGAGGCTGTCTCTTATACACATCTAGATGTGTATAAGAGACAGATATATATCTGCTTTTGTATGTATTTTTAAAACCCCAAAAAATGGAAGATTTATTTTTGTGTAATGACAAGACCTGGACCTATCGATAGAGATACGTATAGCATCCATGGAATATGAATGGTCGTGAATGGTGAAACTACAGTTTACAAGTAGTGTAAGGGTGAGGAATTGTGGACCTTTAAGCATATTTGCATAAATTAAAAAAATGTGGATTGAGTTATACACCTGAACCAATGTGATTTAAGTCGCAGTCTAGTATCATCTTTTACACAATATGTGGACAAGCCCACCAGAAATTAAGCAATACCCGATAAATGTTACGGGAACTCCCATTTCAAATATCAAGCGAAAATGTGCCCTCAGTTGGGTCGTTCAAACCATAACAATGTTTTACTGACGCCTAATTATGTGCAAAAGATTAAATCTATGAAGGCGGTAAAACAAGTTAAAAGGAAATGGAGTGATGATGCAAAAGAAGATTTGAAAAACATGATGGAAACTACAGATTGGAGTAGCTTTGAAAGTGACCATTTCTTTTGTGAATCTGTTGAAGCAATCTGTAGCTTTCTGTGTTGATATCACAATCCCGAAATATACAATTAAAATGTTCAAGGTTAGTTACATAAAGCTACACCAAGGTTCCTAACAGATTTAGAAGGCACAAGGACCGTTGTCCCAATGGTAATGGGTGGAAAAGTGGGCTTAGGGTGACGAAATCTGGAATGGAATACTATGTATTCAGTTTTGTTTTCATTCAGTTGAAGTTTGTTCAGAAACAACCATCGTTTAATTTCAAAAACTGTCATGCTCAATTCTATTTATAGCAATTTGTGATCCATAATTAAAATCAAAAGGAAGATACAGCAGAATATTATCAGCATGTAGATGAAATTGAACTCCATTATTACGGATGATCTTGGCAACCAAAGAATGTATAAAGTAAAAAGTAAAGGTCCTAAGACCGAACCTTGAGGAACTTCATAAGGAAATTATTTGATCGGTGACATAGTATCATGGATGCAAACAGACTGAGACCGTGAAGAAAGATAGGTTGAAAACCAACAAAGACCATTGCTTATAAACCCAAACTGATGAGTTATAATGATCAACTGTGTCAAAAGCAGCGGAAAGGTCAAGAAGGGCAAGTGCGACAGACTTGCGATCGTCAATTGCGATGACAATGTCATCATGGATTTTCAAAAGAGCTGTTTCAACGCTATGAGTATGCCTGTAAGCTGACTGAAGCTGTTCAATTTATTTATTCTCAGTCAAATATTCTGAGATCACATTTCTTCAGAGACGAACGACAAATTAGAGATGGGCCGGTAACTAGTTAAAGAGTTTCGATCAAGTTTGTGGTTTTTAATGATAGGAATGATAACAGCTGACTTAAACTGATGAAGGAAAATTCCAGTAGATAATGACAGATAGATTATGTGAAGAATACCGGGAATAAGTTCGGGAGAAACTTCTTTAATAATGGAGTAGAAAAGGGCATCAACTGAACAAGTGGATTTAGATGAAGATGCATAAGCTCAGTAAGAGATTTTTCATCGATCGCAGTGAAATGCTCAAAAACAGATGAACAGTATAATCTTTGCAAAAAGTAAGTTCCGGATCACCCGTATCAAAACTAGCATGAATGTTATGAACTTTTGAGAAGAACAAGTCCGAAAAGACCGATCAGCGAGTTGTTGAAAACTGGAGTGGGAGGAGGTAATTAGGTGTACTGGGTTTAATCAGACTACTAGCAATGTTGAATAATTTACGTTGATCGCCATGGCAGTCCTCAATTCTAGATGCAAATCACAGTGACTTAGCAGATTGAAGTTGTGCTCCAAGAGTTACTTGGGCCTCAGAGAACAATTTCTTGACATTGGGGAATCCTGTCCTACGCCATCGGCGCTCAAGCTTGCGACAAATATGTTTCTGTTTACGAATACCTTCAGTGTACCAACATTTATATTTTCTGTCGAGGGTTTTACACGATTTAAGAGGAGCGTCGAGATCTAAAACACAACGAAGGGTCGTAGAGAACGAACCAACAAGTTGATGCGAATTAGACTGGGGTAGAAAATCGACCGTCGGAATGACTCAACAAGAGATGTCCTAAATTTATCATTGTCAATTGATTTTATATCCCTTAGTTTAAAAACTCGATGACCAGCAATTGGAGGTTTGTAAGAAATAACTTCAAAATTAATGAGTGCATGATCACTGAAAAGATGCTGCAAAACGACCAGATCAGAAACCGTAGGGGTACGAGTCATCACTAGATCTAAGATATAGCCTAGTTGGTGGGTGGGTTCAGAAACATGCTGAAAAAGATTATAGTCATAGAGATATTATAGGAAACGCCGTGGACGTGGGTAATGCGTCCTGTCAACATGAATGTTGAAATCCCCCATGACAACAAAGTTACAACCCGAACAATTGTCAAGACACTAAAAAAATTCATCAAAAAATTTAACCAATGAGTCAGAGGGAGGACGATAAACAACAATGAAGCGAAAAGGAGTCATAACTGATATTACGATTTATGTCGTCGGATGCGGAACGTGATGTCCATTAGAGTGTTTTCGCAAGCTTACAAAAACGATAACCAATACGGTTATGTCAGCAAATTTTAGACACCCCGATCTTTTATAGTAGCATCAGGGATGGTAACATATCTGTTGCAACGTAGGTGATTCATGCCTTTTGCCTGAATGAAGGATCATATTTAGCTTGTACAACATATTGTCAAGAATATTTTAGACACGAAATGACGATAATGAGAATTATGTAATAAATGTGTGTTTGTGTAAGGTTGCAAAAAACTCCTTTTTGTTATTTGGGTCCTGGAGGTTGTGGAACACAGGAGGCAATATCTCTTGGATTTTAATTGTGAGGTAAAAGTTTGCGGAAGGCATTAAACAGTTTCATGTTGAATTTGAGTGGTGGGCTAAAGGTCGCTGATCTGGATTTGGGACATGGCTCCAAAAACGCATATGCATTGTCATTTGCATTTGTCGCCGGAGCTCAAAGGTTGCGGAACGCATAGTAATTGTCGTTGGTTTTGGCTTCATACCTTCTAATTAAAAGGGATTGAACTCTGTCCACATTCACACTATTACATGAAATAAAACTTTCTATTCATTGATCTTTTCAGCCCGCAGTCGGAGAGTGTACATCTTTTCGTAATACGGCAGTGCACCGTCAACACAGGCGTTGACATCGTCTGGTAACTCAGATCGACCAGGTACTGGAGTAGGCTTGTAGAAATGCTGACTATCGAATGCATTTTTATAAAAACCGAATAGTTCGTTTCCTTGTACAAACACATTCGATGCCTTCCATTCCTGTATAATACCGTCTCCAGCATTCCATTTCAATAATTTATCTGTATACTGAATACGTGTGCGTTCACAAAACTGCTTTAAAATCAATTCAGGATTTTCCAGAAGATCATCAGTATCTATGATAAATGGGTCAGGATCAATTCCTGTTTTGATAAGATGCTCGTAAAGTTGTAAACTTTCACCAAATGCGTATTTTTTGGGGATAAAAACGCCATCATTCTCAATAATAACTTCGTTATCAGGAGTAAATGTGTTATACATTTTCTTCCAAGATGAAAATACTTTTGCAGGATGTCGAATCAAAAATGCATGTCGATATCCTTGAGGCAACATGTGGAGTTTCCAGGTGACGGCATACGACATGTCTTTGACGAAAACTACCTTCTTGCCCGGATATTCTGCCTCCAGAAGACTTTCTTTCACGAATTTGTAGGTGGCATTGTCTGTATCCCAACCACCATCGTACTTCAACTTCACTTCTTTAGATTTATTCACGAATATTTTCAATATTTCTTGCAAATCTTCGCGCGATGGATGTTTCATATCTGGACCTACGACATACGTGGACAAATAGGGTTCGTTTATGACCTGTACATCAGCAAGATTACTCATGCATTTTACAAAGGCAGTAGAGACAGTGCGGGGAATGCTCCAGAGAATTACACGAACCTGGTTGTCGGCCATTTTTGTTAAGGCTTACCTGAAAATACAAACATAATTATGGTGATGATGATAATATTTACAATAATAATAATAATAATAATACTTATTATCGTTATTAATAATAATATTTAATTCACCCAAAAAATATATAAATACATATAAAAACTTTATAGAATAGAAGCAGTAAAATTGAATGGAAAAAGAAATGCAATGAAGCAAAGAGTGTATGGGGAAGCGCGCATACATGAAAGAACGGAGTTCCTGTCAAATAAATGCTTAATATCCAGCATCTCCGAATTTGCATCGTGACAAACACTTGATAATGTCTTTCTTGTAACTTGGTTAAACTTTTACGAAAGTTTCAATCATATCAGTTGATTAGCTTTTAAGATATCGTGTCCAGGACGTCTGTTATATCCCTTTACATCGTCCTCCCATCCACACCCTACTCCAGACTGTCATCATAATTTTATCATTTCTTCATTGGGTTATATCTAGCCTTGGTTTCAGGACCAAATTTTGGTTTATTCACTCTTTATTGCACTTAATGCGCGCCATACCTAATTTAATTGGCGTCCTATACTCGACTTTTTTCTTCTTTTTTTTTTTAACGATTAGGGCCTGGGCAAACGCTGCCTGATCATTCATAGGTACCATTTCCTACATCGAATTCGATGTGGAATATCGTATGCATGACTACGGTAGCTTATCATTTCAAGGAATTTTCCCACCAACAGATAGATAACCGGAAATTTCAAGAGAAAGTCGACAAACTAAGTAACAACTTCAAGGAAATTACGACTGAAGAGGACTTCACGATTGTCAACAATGACCTGACATTTAAGATGTCGAACAATGAATGTAACCAAACTATCCTAACTAAATAGAAGTGGTCTACACCTTAGCAAATATGGAACAAAACACCTGAACATTATCGCGACTCACTCACTGCATAATCAAAGCCAAATCACCTACCACCGATCATCCAACCTGAGTCGACACAGCAATACATCAAAGTCAAGAAAGCTTTTTGCTACTTCTGCGGAGAAACAAATCGCAGACACCTACATCAAAGTCAAGAAAGCATTTAGCTACTTCTGCGGAGAAACAAATCATCATATGAAACCGTGTCTACACGGAAGGCCAATTCAATGTCGCTCGTGTAATTAGTATGGACACAGACAACATCAAAACTTATGCATTAACAAATAAAGATTCGGCGAAGATGAAGATGCCGCTCCTGAGAATAACAGGAAGGACTTGTGTGGTAATGTGTTCCACGATCAAAATAATAGATTTAATAATTTACAAGACCTTTTAAATAATGATAAAAACGATAATAGTCCAGTTAAAACACTATTTTGTAACAATGACCTATGTAAATCCCCTAATAATTGTAATGATAAAAGAAAAGTCAATTCGGCATCGCAGTTTCCTCATAAGAGATATTAATAGGATCCTTGTCAAAGTTAGATCGCTGTAATCTATTTTAAGCGTATTGTGCATTAATATGCTAATTACGCTACTAGTATTTACTGTAATAAAAATGAGAAGTTTACTTGACCGTTTTCAAGCGGAGGAAAACCTTAAAATTTAAAGAACTTAAAAGTGATTAAAAGACACCTCAGAAGTCAAGAAAGCTCATTTCCTGCCATCTAGTTATCATTTTTTCCTGGGCCCCCTCTTTGGGGTTATTCATTCATGGAAAAAAGAATACGTAAGCAACTCAATTTTTTTATGTACGTATACACACATAAATAGGCCTATTTACTGTAATAAAAATGAGAAAGTTTACCTGACCGTTTTCAAATGGGGGAAAACCTTGAATTTTGAAGAACTTAAAAGTCATTAAAAGACACCTCAGAAGTCTGGAAAGCTCATTTCCCGCCATCTAAGAATCGAAATTTTCCCGGGGAGGACACCCGGACCACCCACCTTTTTTTTTTGTCGTTTTTATGAAAAAAGTCAGGTCTCTATACACACACTAGTACTGCCATAGACTCTAGAGTAAGGCTAGTTTAAAACCCCATGCAGGGTAATGTTTCTGCGGAAATTGTGATATGCTAGGACCACAGTGTCAGTGACCAGGTTAGACGTCAAAGTAGAATGGTGCGCCATTCTGGAGTGAATTTCTACCTTGATTAAATCCGTTATTGATGATCTTGAATTTGTATATTGATGATCTTGAATGCATATTTTGACCTTGCATTCATTTATTGATGCTCTTTATATCGTATATGATGATCTTAAATATTGAATCCATGTGATGATTGAATCCATGTGATATATATATATTGACGATAAACGTAATAAACTTCATTACCCACTAACGTAATGAAAATTAACCACTAACGTAATAACGTTAAATTTTCACAAGAAAACGTTGGACTTATAAAACATTGTAAATTAAGTGAAAATATTTTTGAAGTGAAAAGTCAATATTTATGAAGAGTCCAACAACAAAGTTAAAATGTATTTTGTTATCTTTAAGATTGGTTCATGAAACAAATTTCAACATGGACATTAGTCTTAACTGGAATGAAACATATTATACTCAAAACATATTTAAAAGAATGTAAAATTTAAAATGTATCCCTAAACATAGCGTTATATTGAGGAGGCTATTAATAATTTTGATATCTAATTGATAATAAACTGAAGATATGATCATCTTAAAATGCTCAATTCATTAAATTACTTGTAAAGAAAAAAAAATAATAGGCCTATAGACCTATCTATATTGACTTGATCCTAGTTCCCGAATTATATCTCCTTCATTATTACAAACAGATTATTTCTTGCACTATTGATGTTCCATAGTACTTTTTGCACAAATACCGTTCCACACTTTGCTGGGTTTAGAGACAGTGTGGGTTTTGACTTTTTGCGCCACGATTTTTTGGTGTAACGTGATGTCAATAAGACGCTTTGACTAATCGCTGCTTAATTGAAACAAATTTGACTAAATCATTCTTAAATTAAACTGTACGAAGATCCAAGATCGTACACCGCTACGCGAAAAGTTAAATAAAAATCTATTGATTGGAATAGTTATTCATGACCCCACCCATTTAGCCAAATAGTACGAAGCCCGTAAACAAATACTCTATACTAAAGTGCGGTGTTTATTTTCCACAAACACAATTACATGTTAATAGAGAGATTTCGGTATTCAAAAAGTAAAACATTGCTATATCATCACCATCAGTATCGACATGAGGCAAGAGGAAAAATTTTCCCTTATTAGAAATGATCTGTCAGATGGTCGAGAGTGAGCCGTCAGATGATCCAAGAGGGAGCTGTCAGCAGCTCCATGAACTTAACTTAATTTGTTCTAAGGATGTCCACTGGGAGTTAACAAACAGAGACCTGGCCAGCAACATATCCATTGGAATGTAAACAAGAAACCCATTTACCCATATTCCTTTAGTCAATATCCAAGTGAGGATACTTATCTTTGACAGAATGATGAGAGCTACCTGGACAGACAGTATATTTCCAACTTTCATCTTCTTTCATTTGTCTATAGCCTAGTCCTACTACTGCTTTTCCGACAATTTGCACCTCTAACACATTCTCATTTAAGTTTTCAAGAAAACCTTCAATGATCATGCCGTCCTGCTATTCTCAATCGACCGATGGCGAACAAGCTAACCACCACCACTAATTTCATCTGCTATTCTGCTGTTATGTAATACTGTACTCACAACATTCTTGTCATGAGAAGCCATGCTCTCTGGACGATTATCTTTTCCGCCGCAGCACCATTCGTACTTTGCGGTTTCCTGATGTCCTTATTTAATCGTTTTTTATTCAAAATGTGCCTCTTGGATTTAATAAGTTCTCATAAGAACCCCTCGATTTTCATCTATTTCCATAAGCGCCCCCTCAATTTTCACTGTTTTTATAAGCGCCCAGTTCGAATAATCGCCCCTCAAAAAGTGCAAAAAACATATTTTAAGCGCCCGGGCGCTTATTCGCGCGAGTACGGTAAGTGGCAATAAATAAATTTAAGAACCCATCGCTCTTCAACAAACCATCAAGATTTATTTCCTTAGTTTTTTGTTTTTTTTCAAAACAGGTGGACCATTTCTTTTAATGGCCAAAAATGCAACATGGATAATACCTATATCTAAATATTTTTCAGCACAACGGTCTTAAAAATGGGACCTCTTACCTTTGTAATAAGCAGGAGTGCTGATGATGCCTATAGTGAAGAGGAATGACATCGACAATTTAAAAATACCCTTTGATCTCAAACGGAGTCAGGGCACTTGTACGAAGTGCTTTGGTCGAATGGTTAGTTGGTCCGAAGGGTCTTTGGTCAGAAGTTCCGTTGGTCCGAAGTATTTCAAATATGGACAAAACATTTAAAGAAAACACATTGGGTGACTACCATGGTAGGCCTGTTGGCTAACAATATACTGTACATTTATTGCTTGTTGCAGAGTCGTGAGTTGTCAGCTCAGTTATGTATCTTTTAGCAAATTATTCCACATTGAAAATATTCCAAGTGAATGGAACTTCAGTATAATTTCCCGATTATTAAAGCAGAAGACAAAATACTTAAATAACTGTGGGGAGAATTTCACTAATAATTTCCTGTCTTTCGAAAATAATTTAACATAGTTATTTCCATTTATATTTTATTGAAAAAAAAGAAAATGCTCTCGGCAGGTTTCAGATCTCAGCATAATTGCAAAGACCAAACGGACCAACGGGCCTTCGGACTAAAGACCCTTCGGACCAAATGTGTGCACTCATGCAAACAGGTGGCAAAGTCCACTGAAGGCCTACTTACTGAACGATAACACAATCATTAAATACAATGGTTCAGCGATCCGTCTAGCGTATCATAAACGGTCGGTTAAAACGTCGTGCTTTATCAGCGAGGTTTGATTACGAGGCTTATAGTGTTTAGATATTTTTTAGTCGTAACCCCAAACCCTTGAAAAGATGTGTATAAGAGACAGGAGCCCGTAAACAAATACTCTATACTAAAGTGCGGTGTTTATTTTCCACAAACACAATTACATGTTAATAGAGAGATTTCGGTATTCAAAAAGTAAAACATTGCTATATCATCACCATCAGTATCGACATGAGGCAAGAGGAAAAATTTTCCCTTATTAGAAATGATCTGTCAGATGGTCGAGAGTGAGCCGTCAGATGATCCAAGAGGGAGCTGTCAGCAGCTCCATGAACTTAACTTAATTTGTTCTAAGGATGTCCACTGGGAGTTAACAAACAGAGACCTGGCCAGCAACATATCCATTGGAATGTAAACAAGAAACCCATTTACCCATATTCCTTTAGTCAATATCCAAGTGAGGATACTTATCTTTGACAGAATTTTAGAGGATGCATTTGTCAAGGGGTGGAGAAAGATTTTCCAAAGATGGATATTTTACCCTTGTCCCCCGGTGTTTTTAATTCTAATTTCGTTGGAATTGATCAAAACTCCCTAAAATGTGCAATTTTTAGAGGAAATTGGGCCATTTTAACAAGAAATGCGCGCGAAATTTGAGGTTTTTAGACACTTTCAGGGGATGAAAGTGCATTTATAAAGGGGTGGGGAAGATTTTTCAAAGATAGATATTTTCTCCTTGTCCGCCAGTGGTTACATCATCGGGCAGCATAGATCAGAGGAGTTATGACAGTTTTTGAAGTGGAGAAGGGGTTACATGGGTGTTCATGTTGTGAGTCTGGTCATTATGATATCTTCCTTTTTATTCTTGTCTCTTTATTTTCCTCTTCGCTTTTTCTTCCTTTTCTTTTCCTCTTCTTTCTCTTTCCCTCCCTCTCTCCTCTTTCTTTTCTCTTATTACCCAGCCCGGTACGACGGCTTGGTCAGCCCGGTAAAAACCGTCGGGGGAGGGGCAGTTTTCCCCCCCCCCCGCGCCTGTTATGACACTGGCTAACACGCCAATCATCCCCCCCCCCCCAATGAAAACTATTTTTCTACGCCACTGGAAATGGCAGGCAAGTATCTTAATCAGCAAGCTATACTGTATCTCCACTTCCACAGATCTGGTATGGTGAATCATCACTCACACATTACAGGCCCGTATACAGAAGTTTTATTGGGTGGGTGGGTGCGAATTTATACAGAGTGGACTAAAATGGTTGGGGGCTGCATAACAACATTTGTAATTATGGCACCTGTACCTATGTGGTTAGCAATGGCACTCAGACTTTAAATTTGAATATATTTTTCTTTGTTAAATATAAAGAGTTTAAACCACGAAATTCTTCAATGGTTCAACCATCATTACAAGTGAAAGCAACTACACTTCTAACACAGTCGAATCCGCCAAAGTCGACTCTGTTTAAGTCGAAAATTCGCGTCAGTCCCAATTCATTCCTATGTATTACTGTGTAAATTGTTTGTTTAGTTTTCGTGGGGTGTTTTGCAGACAGACATGTGCTTCGGCTGTGATGACGTCAGATCGCCCAAAGTTTTATAGTGCGTGAACAGTAACAAGCTCGGTGTATTAATCAAGAATGTTTTAATTGTTAAAAACAAATATATAAAACAAAACAAATAAGAAACCCTCATGGTATATTTTAGAGTCAAATCTAAATAAACCTAACAAATTATATTTTATTCTCTACAAATTTCCTCCGTAATTAAATTAGCAACATGTTTTAAAAAGCGTATTGAGTTCAAAGAATGAATGAATGAGGTGCATTTGAAATTTACACCGACGAATCTAACGAATTTGAATTAGACGTCTACTGAAAAGAATAACCAGTAGAAACTTGCTTTGTTAACCAACAAAAAGTTTGCTGGTGTGTCGTATTAATCAACAGATAATCTCCATGGCAATGCGAGTACAGCTAAGCGTCTAGTATGCTTGTCGTTAAAAGATATCTATTAAACTATCGTCTGGTTTTTCGAGTGAGTGTTACCGTCCTGAATTGGACAAATCGTCCGAGATTTAGAATAGGGAGTTCATGTTTTCGGAGAGTATTTTATTAAAAGAAGAATAGGAATGACTTTGGGACTTAAGAAAATATTCGGTTTTGCGTGAAATTTGATTTTGTGGGCATTGAGTGCAAATAGTATTGTTCTATGTTAATTTTTTTTTTCGAAAATGTGCAAGTCAAAATCTGTATAACTCGAACTTTTTATGCCAGTCCCATTAGATTCGACTGTAGTTAGAGAGTAATAGAAGGATAAGGTGATCTCGGGGAGTCTCCTACAGAAACTGGGGATAAGCACCTGTCCTTATGAGGTTTATTGGCTCCCCATATGAATTTCTCTTTTTTTTTTTACTTAAAATTAGTATAAAAACAAATTGCAAAATTTTTAAAATGTAAGATACATTACACAAACTACAAATCAAAATGTATTTATTTAATTGCAATATGCTCAACTACATATATACACACTGTGAATTCTTCACATTAATATGGATTCAATAGTTTATATATTTAGTCACTCGTATTGAAAATGGTACTGAAAAAGTACTAGTTCTTATTTCCAATGGTGTAATGCCTATGGGCTCTTGGGGAACGAAGCCCCAGGCCCTCAGTCCAAAGGGCCCATCCTGCTAATACACAGCACTCTCCTAACGGAGCACTGACACTAGGTCCAATTATACCTCCTGACTGTCCTACGTGGACTTGCATGACAATCTTCTTTTATACAATATCAATTTCCGACTCAAAAATTCCAAAGCCAGGCTCCAATACAAACTAAAATGTAAATACTGTACTAAAATAAGGAAGGGCTATTAGAATACACAGAGAATACAAATCAAATTATTGGACTATAACAGGCTACGGTATTGTTGATATTGTACTGTAAGGGGCCCCTTGGAAACTTTTGTGACATTCATAATCAATTACTAAGAAGCATATGGCCGCCAACACTTTCTTGCCCCTGGGCCTCGCCATTACGCCACTGCTTATTTCTTTCATTCAAATTTACTGAATTTTTAAAAGGGTATAATTGTTCAAGTATTTTATATTTTTATGCTAATGGTTTTGTTTTCTCAAATAATCCTTATTACAGCAGATAAAAAAGAGAAATTAAATACAATGTAAACTAGTAACACTAATACATATTTTTATTTTAAATTAGTATAAATAGAATGCACAGTTGAGTCTACAGACAATTTTTGTATGTGCTGCACCTTGTCTGTGAAATGAACTTCGACTGCAATCCCCCACTCACCCTTTGAACCAAGCTATGTCTCAAATTTACTATTTTGTTTAACCTTCAATCATTAAACTATATAGAATGTAGCTGTTTTTGCAAGTTTTTGGCCTGCACTAATCTTTCTATTAGAATCAGTCTACAGTACAACAAAAATAAACTGTATGTAAAACTTGCAAAACATATTAGCTCCTACACTGACATTTTTATAGAAAAAAATATCTATTATTTGATTTTAATAAAAGCAACTTTAAAATCCAGACTAACACATGTTTCACGTTCAAGAATTTTTCAAATAACCAAACATGATCACAAGCAACATCATATAACCTCTTATTGAATGAGTCCACATAAACATATTTTAATGGACTTAATATTTGGAAATTTCAGTTAGCCTCTACTAAATTCAAAATAAAGTTTAGAGAATGCATTTTAGAAAACAGCATTTAAGAAATTTAAATAACTTGTAATTATGGTAGACATTGCTTCAATTATTTTGTAGTTTGTAAACTTGTCTACATTTATAAAGTAACTCAGGGAATCTGCAAGCTCACCATTTTTGCATTGTTTGTTTTGCATGAATGATTGATTGATGTAAACATCCTAGGAACTCTATTATTGATTGGCTGTAAACAAATTCACATTGAGTCTATAATACATGGTTCGTGCTAAAGAATGGTATGTTTTATTTGTGATTAATTTTTAATAAGTAGTTTACTGTATGTTGCGAGGCCATCTTATTGGCTTATGTTTCCTCAGTTCCCGGCACTTGTTATTATGATTCTGTAGCGAATACAAATGAATAAACAAAATGAAGTAAAGTGTGTTATTAAATCAATTTCACAATGAGCCATTTTAATATTAATTTTGGATTAAAAAGCAAATCATGATATGCAAGGCCTTTATTAGCTTTGAAAATGAAAATCATGCTTATAATTACAGTAAAAATTTACAATTATTGAAATGTTGAATCCAATACTTTAATCTCAATCCAAAAGATCCGTCAATTCTTGTACTTAATCCTCTTCAGAGCTGTCATCGCTATCACTGCCACTAACTGGTTCCCTGACATCCACTGTGAATTTATACTCTTGATCGCATCCCATGTAAGCGTCACTCATGAAATAGATAGTGTATGTGTGTGATCCAGTAGAGGGCGCCACGAAGTCCAGCTTGACCTTGGCCTTCTGTTGTAAGGTCAATCGTTTGATGGAGATAAGACTGTTTGATTTGGTGTCTCCGATCACAACCCACCAGCCTTCTTCACGTTTCTACAGAGAGAAAAATTAAAACTCCTTAAAAATTTATACAATTTGATAATTTTGGTAATGTTAATCACTCATTTGTGATATGATGTTGAAAGTATATGAATGAGATACTTAAGATACCTGTCAATATTTTTCTGTAAAAACATCCCTAAGGAGAAAACCTTTCTGTCCCAAGGCATCGCATGTACCATATTTATTGTTTTGGTGTTAAATGGATATGTATATACTCAGACAAATCTCCCTTAATTTAACTGTAAATGTGAAACTACAAGTTCAAGGTACATTTATTCATAATGGTACAACATAGTATACAATACATGATACATAAGTATTAAATGAATTTTATTGCTGTCAAAATGTGTTATTGCGTGATCATAACTGTACAGTATTCATCCCAACCAGGTTACAAAAAAGTGCAATTCTACTGGAGTAGAACATTAATAGAATGTGTTGAGAATGATGTTGCTTCCATCAGATTTGTTTAGTCACTTTGGGGGCAGGAGAACATCAGGGCATTCATTTGATTGTGGCGTTCATTCCAAATGAGGCTCTAAAAATTTGATAATCCCAACAAAAAACATTGGGTCCAAGCCAGACTAGCCCAAAAATATGTGTATGATGGTTTGAAAGTAAGAGGTTTAATTAATATATTTTATTCGTTAACTATACATTTTAGCTCTGGTTTTACCACTTTAGCAGAAAAAATATATGTTTGGGGTGAGCGATAAATGACAATTATCTCTAGGCTTAAGTCATAGTTAAACAAACAAAAATATCGGATTTTAGGCAGAGCATTTTTTAGTCTATTATTCTTGTATTCCCAAGCAATAAACTGCACCTACAGTCAGACATGTCTTGCTGTGGGAATGAATAAGCAACATAATTATATGCTTACCTGGGGGAAGAATGGAGCAATCACAGGGCCTGTGATCTCATCCTCTCGCTCAAGTGTAACCATGACAACAACTGGTGAACCACTGACAGAATAAAAACGAAATATTTACACATAAGCAGTGAACTACAAAACAAATTTTAATAAATTTAAAGTATAATAAAGAAAAAATTCAACAGTCATCTTCATTGTTATATAAGTCAGAATCAAAATTAAAATTATAAGTCATCATCAAATTATACCTCCATCAAAATTATATTCTACAAGCCACAATGAGACATATGCCTACCTCTCTAAGTTGTTTTTATCTTGGACATCATACGTCAGTTCTATGTTGGGGTAACGGTTACAGAATCTGGCCACATCGGCCATCTGGGCGTCAGACAAGCGAAGCAGCTCATTACGCTCATCATTCTCCATCTCCATAATGTCAAAGATGCTTTCAATATTCTTAAAGGAATAAGACAGAAATATTTAATCAAACATATACAGATAATTTACATAACATACTTAATATGCTCAAAAGCAATCGTGACTTATACTAGATTCAAACAAGACAAAATATTACACAGGATACAGGATGCATGATAAGAAATAATGAGCAAGAATCCCCTGCTACATTGAATAGCACTTACCCCAACCCCTGCTATATTGCATGCATACATTCCCTGCTATATTGTATAGCATGCATCCCTGCTACATTGCATAGCACTTACCCCAACCCCTGCTATATTATATTGCATGCATACATTCCCTGCTATATTGTATAGCATGCATCCCTGCTACATTGCATAGCACTTACCCCAACCCCTGCTATATTGCATGCATACATTCCCTGCTATATTGTATAGCATGCATCCCCTGCTACATTGCATAGCATGCACTCCCTTCTACATTGCACAGCATGCACCCCTGTTACAATGCATACATCCCCTGCTACAATGCATACATCCTCTGCTACATTACAAACACCCCCTTCAAAATTGCATAGCATGCATTCTCTGCTACATTGTATAGCATGCATCCCCTGCAAAATTGCATAGCATACATCCTCTGCTACAATGCATAGCATGTATCCCCTGCTACATTGCATCCATGTGAAGGCGCACATAAGAGTAGCATGCACTCCATGTCACTAGATATGGTACTTACATGTTCAGTGCAGCGCTTCACCAAGTCAGCATTGAAGTGTGGCAGTTGCTTCAGATAGGAATCTTTGTTCCACATTGCTTGAGTTACCATCTGCGCAAGCTCCATGGCGGCCAGGGCTGGCGATAGCCAGCCGTTGCTACTCAGTACATCCACACAAGCTTGGATCAAACGAAGGGCCTATTCAAGGCAAAGAAAAAGAGGAAATGTTTACACCAAAAATTAAAAATTATATCAGAATAACCTGTAATAAATATAATAAAGGAAATACAATTAACTGACATTAAAAACTAAAAATCATTTACTAAAACAATAGCCTCCATTCAAAAAACACGCTCTTTTTCTAAGCTAACTATACTAGGGAAGAGTATTAAAGAGTATCACTTACTTTTCCTAGTATATCCTCTGTGTCTGACTGTAGCTCGGCTGACAGCTGCATTCTAGACAAATGGGCCTGTAGCAGCAGGTTGGTCTTGATATGCGGGTTATTGTACTTGGCATTGGGTATCTTGTTAATGACCTTCTGCGCTAACTGTATGGGTAAAATAGAATAAACAAAGTATTAATTTATATGAGATAATGAAAATTAATTAGGATCAGGATAATTAGTTTAATACTATGATCAGATTATCTCATCCACTTGACAGTACAGAAACTGGGGATAAATATTATATCTGTGAAGCTTATAGCGTAACTGGGTGCACCTGACATATATATATACAAAACATGAGGATAAGTACAACATACAGACATTGATAGTTAAGATGGTGGAAATGAAATAATGAAGATGAATTTAAAGAATAAGGCAACTATGTACCTGACGAAGCACCGAGTCTTCATGATGCCGGATGGGTATCCTGTCGTACTCAGCAGCTTCTGAGATGATCTCTATCAGTCCTCTGATCTTAGTCTTATTGTTAAGTGACATACTAAACAATTCTGAAATATACAAATAACATTTAAATATTAGCCACTTTAGTCACCAAATGTAAAAAAAATGGATAAAACTGTATAATAGTACAACTATTACAACCACAAATTGTGATGAAAAAACCAAAAGACATGTATTTTTTCCCACACTGCACTGAATACTTAGTATGCCTAATTTTTTTTTTTATTTATTTATTTATTTCGGTATAAAACATAAATATACAATAAGCAGCAAAAGCTGAAAGAATTGCATTTACAGAATTATTGAAATATACAGTACATTAAAATTGTGACCTGCTACGACGGTTGGGCTGTAAAGTCGCACCGTCGTGTAATGAGAAAAATGCCTATTAAGCTGGAATAGGTCGAAATACGTGTATTTTTTGGAAAATGAGTTTTTGGTAGAATAATAAAGTAATACCTTTGATTTCACTATTTACTAAGTTTGGACCTAATATTCCTACTATAAAGCACAAAATAATGCCATTTTTTGAGGACACTCCATAGAAACTGGATGAAAACTGGCAGTAAACGCGAGCAAAATCGATCAAAACAGACCGCTCTTCTATGCGCCATATTTCGCTATGCAAGCCTGAACTGTGACCTAAATCGTGTTAAAATCATTAATAGAAATATATAAAATACTCTGATTGGTCAATCTTTGCTAATAAGGTGAATTTGAGCTTGTTTTATCCAATAGAAAACAGCCTCTGTAATGTAAACATTGGTTTCTAAGGCCATAAAATATTGAACGTGATTGGCTGAGACTGATCACCTGATTGAGAGACCCACCCTGATTGGTCACATTACGTTGTTTACATCAAGCGAACGTGGAAGTAGTATTGCAAGCAGCATGTACCGTCATGGCTTCGAATCGAAATAAAGTTTGAGATAATGAAACAGAAAGGAGATTTGCATTTGCCTTAAATAGGGCAAAATGTTTGAATCTCACTGTCGATGATTTTGTAGGCTAAGTGACAAATATTTTGAAGAAGGAACGACGTCGGAGCCAAAAAGAGAAGGACGATTTTAGCGACGATCATCATGATGGAGGACAGACGATCGGGCCCACAAGACGATCAAGCCGAGACGATCGGGCCCAATTTTGAATAGGGACTGGCTATACGTACAGCGGCTGTGTATACATGATTTAAAAAGCTCGTTTTTTAAAAAGAATCAATTTTGCGGTCTTTTGTTCGTGATTCTTTGCACAGTGTGGACGCATTATTTGACGATTTGATATTAAAACACATTTACTATTGTATATCTATGCTGTGCGTATAGCCTTGTCCTTTTGAATATGGGCATGTTCGTCCTGAAAATGGGCCCGATCGTCCTGGGCTCGATCGTCTCGTGGGCCCGATTGTCTTTAGGCAAATTGAATATTGGGCCCGATCGTCTGTTGGCAAAATTTCCAAAACTTTATTGGCTTGCCTAGGTCAATTTCGGCTGCGCCACGCCAAATGTTCATTCTCTGCCTATGACACTCTTATAATAGAATTGGCTTGCTAACTTAAAAGTAATAGTTCAACCGCTTGACTGCTACTCTATTTTGCACATCTTACCCCCCCCCCACCCAACCGCCAGGAAAAGCTTCACACTTCCCCTCCCCCACCACACTATTCCCACATTAAACACACAGCTATCTCCTTATATTATTGGTTGTAATCACTCCAGGTTCCAAGAAGGCAGCAATAGTTTAAAGAAACCACATGCGTAAATAATTACTATTGCTTGATTAAAATATGACGTCATTTCAAAATGACCTCCATCTCCCCTTCCCCGGGGTATGACTTTGAAATTTGGCATGCTGAGACATGAAAGTGGTAGTTCAACTTCCTGATTGCTACTGAAATTCTCACATCTTATCCACTGCCCAACTGCAACACGCACTGTTACCCTCACCCCACCCCCAGTCACACACTGTCACATCCCCTACCCCCATTCTCAACATCTACAAGTATTTCCTCATATTCCTTGGTTGTAAATATCATTCTAGGGTTTTCTAAGAGGACAGCTATAGTTCAAAAAACCACATGAGACAATAATATCCATTTTGTATAGTTATAATATGACGTCATTTTAAAATGGCTGCCATTCCCCTCCCCCGGGGGTATGACTTTGAAATATTTAGTACTTGTTCCTCTACCTTTGCACAACGTCTGTGCAAAATTTGGTTTTGGTAGGCCTACAAGAAGTACTAGTTGCTAAGGTATATTATTGGTATACACTTGCAATATCCTTCAAATTTAAGTATGGTTAATTTCATTAGCCTTTTTCTCAAAACTTCAAATTTTTATTTCTGGAAGTTAGTAATTATTCAAATGGCCGTAGAATTGCTTCTAGATTTCCGATTGAAATGGTTTAATCACCATTTTAAATCTCGTAATGTGTTCTATAAGACTATAGCAAAATCTAATTTTTGACTAGGTACGAGTTTACAGCCATTTCGTGGTAGCAGGTCACAATTATTAACAGGCAATATTTAAAAAAACATCAATATAACAAATTAAGATTCAAGACATAAAAAAAGAGTCCACTAAAAAAAAACAGAACAGTTAAAAACACATTAGAAAAATAATAAAAGCAAATACAAATAAATTAAAATTGCACATACAAAGGCCAAGGAGAACAAACTCATGATCAGTATGCTATAATATTGAGTTTCTTAAATATATTAAATTATAAATAGTTTACTGTTGGATTGTAAATAATAAAATGTTAATAACAATAAGGTTGCAAACATATAACACATAATGTAAAAAGCTTCTCTGCAAGTCTACCTACCAATAGTTGTGTAGTTGATGTAGTAGTAGGCTGCGATCATGCCAAGGTTCAATGGGCTTATATCCATTTCCTCCTCAATGCTGATACACTTGGACTGCTCTAGGTTATGTAACATGTTCTCTACCAACTCAGACATGTGGTCAGAGAGATGACGATGGGTTACACCTACATCAAAGATAATCATTCATTACTCACGATTTTTAAATACATTTTGAGATTTGAAAAAAAACCCCCAAAAACATGACATGACAACCATTCGTCTGTATACCAGCTATAAGAAGTTGGTAACCTTCGTTAGATTACTAAGTCTAGTTGGTACACCCTTTTAGATTACTTAGTCAAGTTGGAATACTTCCTTACATTAATTACAGTTACAGTTGGCATACTCTCTTTGATTACTGGGTTAAGTTGGTATAAAAATATCATAACCAGAAAAAATTAAAAAAATATATTATTTAATAGATGAAAAAAAAATGCTTTATTCTAAAAATAATATTTGGTTACCTTGGAGATTGTAGTAATTGGGGTTCTGTGTCATCCGCCTGTAGATAAAGGTCCAGGTCAAATAGTCCACAGCATCCTGCTTGTTCTCAATCGTCTTGGTAACAACCTCTGCATTGAAGTGGTCATGAAGACAGTGGTCGAGATGAGACTTAATTTAAAAGTGGTAAAATAAAAAACTTATTAAAATCATTTACAATTTAAATTTATTTTTTATTCAAATTAAAATTTTGCACTACCTTGTAGCAAACATTTAATGTAAATGAGTTCAGTGTATACATGCAATTACACTTCTTCCATTACTACGGTAAGATAACAGCTTATTTCTATTTTTAGCAATGGCAGGCAAGTCTCAATTAGAAATAGGAGTTATTTTTAAGTCAAACAGAATACATAAATAGTATTACTATATATTTTATTAATATTACCATAATAATTATCATTATTGTTATTACTGTCATCATTATTACCATCATCATTACTGGTACTGGTAGCAGCACGAGCATTTATATTGCGCCTTTTCCTTTTGGTCACAAAGCGCACCCTAATAAAACCACGTCTTCCGCAAGGTCAGCGCTTTAAAAGTATCACCATACTATTAATATTATTGTTGTCATTATAAGTCGTCATTCACATTATTAATTATATTTACATTATTTTTACTACTATTAATATTAAAATCATTATCATCATTATTAATGAGGCAACTATTGATAAATGTTTTTGCAATGCTTACTTCTACTGGTAAAGGTTCGTACAAAAACTTCTTGTAGAAGTCCTTCTTTGATCCCTGACATAAGATCACACATTTTCCAACTGAAATAATAAATAACACAAAATTAAACTAAAAAAACATGGCATATATTCATTCAGTTTTTAAAACTGCCTTTTAAAGCGGTACAATATGCTATTTAAACATCCAAAATAGTTACAAAGATCAATCAATTATTATAAGTATATCAACATTTTTCCACAATCTAAATTACAGACCTACAGCACATTCTTTTTATATTGTTGTTTTCAAGTACTATAACATTGTGTTTGTAAATATGAATATTTTATGTCTAGGGAACCAGTTTGAGGGCGATTAATTTGTTATCTACATAAGTTATTATGACTTACTTTCGTTTTCCACATCTGGTCTGTTAGCCCGGCCTACCATTTGTAGAACATCGGTTATTGGATAATCCACATAACTGAAAGAATAAAATAATTTCTTTTATAAATTGGAGTTACACCAACACTGTCTTCTCTTACTGTGGTTAACATGTTTTCCATCCGTCAACAAATTCAGGATTTTCTTTTTTCCTAATAAAAAAATTCAACTCACTTATTCTCATAATTTATAGAGGATCACAACAAATATTTCCATGTTGTGGTACCTCGGTCAGATGAGAATAAATAAAATGAGAACTTAAAAAAGTGTTGATTACAAGCTGGGTGCTAACAAAGCTAACAGCCAGCTAGATATTCTATTCATGAAAAATGCATCAAAAATTTTTCTTGTACTTAAGTTCTTTTAGAAAAATACATAAATCCCAACTTACGCATGAATTTTTCCATTGTAGTATTGTGTGTCCATTACAACGACTAGATGAGCAGACATAGTCATTCCCCAGGCCATGTTCCTTGCAGCAACAACGAGCTGAATGGCACCGGCTGTGAACAGCTGTTCAACAACCTTCTTCTCCATCTCAGTTAAGCCCTCGTGGATGTAGGCAATACCATTTTCTAACATTTCTTTTAACGTCTGCCAGAAAATAAATTGGAATGGTCAAACAAGTTATTAAAACAAATTATAAAATATCAGAATTTAATGGTGGCACACTGAAGGAATGTGATAGACCATCAGGTCTTTGGCGAGTCAAATGGCCGAGCGGTTAAAGCAGAGGCACTGCAACATAAAGCCATAATACCAGTGCTGTTTCAAACGACATGGCTTGCCTATGTTCTGGTGGTTTAACAAGCCTTACTAGACATAAAAACTGTAAGTCCAGTATACACAAATTTGGCCCATGTGCACTTTAAAACCCCAGTACATCTTTTGAGACGGGTAAGGGGTTACTCCGGTGTACTGTTCCATACATTCCCAATTGCGGACGAAAGTAGCTGGTACCAGTTTACCGGGTAGCTCAGACACTTACAGGAGAAGCAATTTAATGTATGAGCTAGTCCAGACCTCGAACACTTTTGAGACTTTGGCATAAAGCGTTACTTAATTCAACTACATTACATTACGTTATATTTAACACCCTGCTTTTAAGTAAATCACACATAATTTAACTCACTTCATCAGTTACTTTACTGAGGTGGCCACTGAGATCTTCTTTTGGAACATGCAGGAATCGACTCTCTTCAGCATCATCAGCAGAAGCGTAGGTGAGCAGGTCCACTGCAGTAAGACGCGTTTGTTTGCGGGATGGCACAAACACGATTATCGGTTTATTCAGCGAATGCTTGATGATAGCATTGTATGTCGGTTTCACCATCGCGATGAGCCGAGATGCTGTGTGAGTGATGTTGAATCCCTGTATGTGTAGTTCCAAAGGTGTGGGTCGCACATTGGGGTGAAAGTTGAAAGTATTGTTGGCATTGCAGCCGAGCCACTGAGCAACGTCTTTAGCATTGGCAAGCGATGAACTGAGGGCAACAATTCGGATGTTACGCTCTATTTGAGATGAGATATAACGCATTCTGGAGCAAATAACTTCAAGAACAGGCTGCGAAATTAATCAAAACCAAACGATATTAATAATTAATAATTGTAACAATGTACTATAGGTATGTCTAATTTTAGGGGCTTTGTAGGGCTTAAATATGTTTTTATTGTTAGTGTCAGGAAATTTTATGGTTCTGTTTCATTTTTGTTCTAGTAAAGCACAAAGAGGCAATTGTATTACATTATGTGGTGTATATGACTAAAATTATTATTCAGAAGTCCCAAGTTGGAGATCTGATCTGGGAGATCTGTTGGCCATAGTGATTTCCATTGTCAGCTGACTTCTGAAAGACTAATACCCTATTCAGACTACACTTGGTTGCGATGTAATTGGTGGTAATCCAAAAACTGATTACTCCCTATTGCAATCAACGAACACATTCAGACCAACACAAACATTACATTCTAGGGCCAGGCCTCCGGTGGCTAGGCCTATGTTGACTGACCTCAGCCAAACAGTGCCTGTGGAACTCGTTGTGATTCATTGTGATCGGATTCCGTGGTAATCGGGGGTAATAAAGATTGTAGCACCCAATCGCAACGGGTAACAATTGCAATGTCGATTACATATCGCCTACTACTGGTGAGATTTCACACACAATTTTACTTTGCGATTGGGTGCGATTGGGTGTCGCAATTGCTACAACCGATCGCAATGCGATGCTAGTCTGAATGGGGTATAACTGATAATACAGTAGCAAAAACATGCAAGTATCATGTATTTGCCAGAGACTAATAAGGTTAAAGGAACAAACCATGTACACCAAAAATACATCTTACCCCATTATCGCCACCAGTTAACTGTAGTTCGTCAACAATAAACAAGTTCACATTCTGAACATTTTTCCTCTGTTTCCATCGTCTGGACAACACGTCCCATTTCTCTGGGGTGCTGATGATTATGTTGCCCTTGGCAAGAAGCTTTAAATCAGTGCTGGTCTCCCCTGTCAGCAGAACCACTTTCTTTCCCAACAACATCTGGAACTTTGCATGCCATTCCTGGTGGACCTGAAAGTATAAAGCAAAGGAACTCAATGATGGATCAAAATACTAATTAAAAAGTAAAAGGTGATAATGATAATATATATGTGGTAGCTTTGCAAAATGGCCAAAAAAAAAAAATTATTTCATAATTCATATTTTTTTCCCCTTTAAAAGCATAAATTGCTGATGGCAGGAGTTTTTTAGAAATGTCTGGTGGATATTGTGCTTAAAAATATCATAATTATTCTGTAGAAGTTTAAGTCCAATTCAGCTTTCTAGCATCTTATTGATGTTTTTTTCATAATAGCGTAATTCCGACAAGGGGAGTCATTAACTTTGTAAATCAAAATTTACCAAAACAATGATTCAAAATAAAGTATCCTAGACTGTAGATAGATATATAAGAGCAATTTTTTTTTTTTTCAAAATTATGCTATTACGAAAAAACATCAAGAAGATGCAAGAAACCAAATTTCTACAGAAATATAAAAAAGTGTAGTGTTATCCCACATTTATCATAATTATTATAAATAACTTTTTCAAAAACCATGGATCTTTGTGCTTACAGTTATGATATTAATAGCTTATATATCTATATAGCATTTTTATATAGCCACAGATATTAAACCCATATACATAGGCAATACTAAATTGCATCAAAGTTTCTGTGCATCAAGACATCCATAATCTTACCTGTTCTGCCAGCTCATCCATGGGTGTAACATACACACACCTGCTGTCAGGGTTCTGCATCAACATCCTCAAGATGGCGCACTCTCCAATGATGGTCTTTCCGCTACCGGTTGGAGCACCAACAAACACATTTTCATCACCATTGTACACAGCATTAAACACTACCAAGAAAACATTAGAAAAACATTTAAAAACAACTCTTTGCCATTTTTCAAGGTGGCTGTCAAAAGAGGGCATATTATTATACATGATTGTTTTAATCCATTATAGAGTTCATTGTAAAGGCTAGATCCTGAGTTTATAATAATGTTATACTTGCTGGCTTTAAACAAAAAACATTAATTTGAAATGTTACTAAATTTCAGGTATTATATTATAATTTTTACACAAAATATCTTCTGAATGAGTTATGTAAAACAATTTCAATTTGATACCTTCCTGAAAATATATGTATCAAGTCATATTTTTGGTTAAGTGTTGTATATTTCAAAATAGCAAAGGTTCTGAGTTTATTTACATAGAGTAGTATCATTTTTAGGCACTCTTGTATTTTCAAAATTGATAGAAAAACCAACATAAAATTTAGTAGCTGTATATTTTTAGAGGCAATTTCCAGACATCTGAATGATCTTACTCTGTTTGTTATTTTACAGACTTGGATTCAAAGAACAAAACAAAGCCTATAATGTCATCTACCTATTAATTTTTGTGTCTATGCCCCCTCGGGTTCCAAGAAACTATGTTATGATCTGGCAATTAAAGATGGCAGAAATGATAAATCCGGCGGCGGTGCATGATGGGTCATGTGTCATCGTAAGTACCTTGTTACTGTACAAAAGTCATAAAAAATTTCCTGATACGAATCTTATGTGGATACCTTATTAGTAAACATGATATAGTAAGGCAGTATAGGACATAGACACACGCTATCACTGGGAGCCTCTTTTTCTTAGAAGGTACCAAAAGGCTCATTGTGATAGTTATCAATATTACATGACAACACAGTTTGTTTACCTTGGGTTTGAATTGGATTGAAGACACTAAACTTGCTAGAGTACAAGGTCTCAAATGAAGCATTCCTCAAAGCCGAGACCGGCAAGGCTTGCAGATCCAACAACTCTGTGGGAGGAGGGTTCTTCTCCGGTAGGATCAGGTGACGGAATGACACCGGAAGCTGGGTCTCGGAGCCTGAGTAAAAAAATGCAAATTATATTATTTGTAATTTCAATTCTGTTTAAAATAGCATCACATCAGCACCATCGATAAATTTTAAGCTGCTGCTGCTGTTTATGAGCTGTAGATAAGCTGGGATTAAATTGTATTAATACAATTTACTTTATATTTGTTTGGTTACGTAAAATCAGTAATTTTGAAACATTTTGAGTTTAAAAGTGATCTGTGGTAAATATAATAATATATTTTAGATCTCATCTTTAATTGATGGCTTTACACTGACATTTATAGTAATGCTAAGGAATAATACTAATAATTATAACAACAAATAAAATAAAAATAATTACAATATGTATTATACATTAATCAAACCAAATTAAACATTCAAGAATATTTCTTCATATAACTAATTCTAAAATAATAGAACATCATGTAAAACACAATATTAGTATTTAAATCTTAAAAAAGTATAGTTTCATATTATTTGGAATATTATCTAAATATTAAAAGTTAACTTAAACATTCAAGAATATTTCTTCATATAACTAATTCTAAATTAACAGAACATCATGTAAAACAAAATATTAGTATTTAAATCATAACATAGTATAGTTTCATATTATTTGTAATATTATCTAAATATTAAAAGTTAACTTAAACATTCAAGAATATTTCTTCATATAACTAATTCTAAATTAATAGAACATCATGTAAAACAAAATATTAGTATTTGAATCATAATATAGTATAGTTTCATATTATTTGTAATATTATCTAAATATTAAAAGTTAACTTCAAAATGAATGAAAAAAATGAAGACTTACCTATCCATCTATCAGATACAACTCGAATGAAGTACTGCGGGGGTAACGGCTCAAAGACTGGTACAAAGAACTTGATAATGTGCTCATCTTTTGCGAATTTACTGCAAAAATCATACATAAGTATAATTTTAAAAAGCTTCAAATTACCATAAAAAATCATATATTATACAGGAATAATTGAATACAGAATACAGAATTCATCAAACATGGGCTAACCAAATAGCTACTAGAATAATTCTGGTGGTCATTTTTACAGTGCACCAGTGCCAATCTCACCTCTACATTAATTAAAGCCTAATGATATTATACAACAACAATTTTCCACTGACCCATTCAGTAGCCATTGTGTTCTTAACTACAGGAATAGATCATTGAGACACTGATTTTAAGATTTGTCAAGTGAACTGAGTACAGGTCTCAAGATAAGGTACGTCCTGAGGTCTGCTCTTTTGTTGCTTGGTTACTGTTCCTCCTTTTATTACACAACCAACCAATGAAATGATAGTTTGCAGTTTAATATCAGGAGGAAGTAGACGTCTTGTCAAAACATTATGTAATACAAGATCAAATTTCTCAAGTGATATAAAACTCTGATGTCAAAGTGACCTTCATCATTTCACATCACTGACTTTGAACTTTGGCCATTATAGCAAATTCTGTTCTTTATACCCATATTATATTTATCATTCATATTATATATAGTCAATGGATTTCTTTCATCAGTTTTAAATTCTATATGATTCAATACAAAACTACATTATTTTATGCTTTATGTTATTAATTAGTATTTGAATGTAATACTATACATGTTTTGCTGAAATATGAGCTTTAATTTTGAAATTGCATTTTTATAAATGTCTATCTTATTTATTTTTTGGTTATTATATTATTCTAATGGAAGTTTAATACTTTATAGCAGATAACCACAGAATTATAAACATTTCAACAAGCATTAAGGAATTTTGTGGTATCGAAATGAATTATGGTTGACAAAGCCAATGTTACCTTTTCAGTAGGAAGTATTCGTGATGAAGAATGATTTCACTATCAACATCTTCCACAAATATCCAGAATGCTTCCGAGTTGCCGTGCACTTTGTCATCCCACTGGAAATCTGGCGTGATGGTCAACTCGACACGCAGAGTGGAACGCGTAATTGGCTGAATGTGTGAGGACAAGTCAAGCTTTGGAAACTGGTGAACAAACTTGTGGATCGTTTTGCTCATCTTTGGCATGCGTATCAGCTCCCCAATTTCGTTTGGTCCGAGATCATAGAATCTTTCCCACGGGAAGTTCTTCTTCTCAATCTTTTTCACAACTTCATCCGGAATCTTTTTAAATTGACGGAGAGGAATCATTGACTGCCACCTGTGATGGAAATTAGAACATTTATAAGAAGCTAGAATCTGGAGGCTATTCAATTAGGAAACAGTGTCTGGTTTTAAATGAAGGCCAATTTTAAAAGCAAAAGATAATATATAGAGGGCAGCAAACAGTTTTGTATTCACTTACATTCTTTTGTCAACCATCTTGGCAAGAGCTAGTGTCTTGTCAGCCAGCTGGGCCCAGCCTCTATGTAGCACAATCTCATATATAGCTCGTACCAACCGGCCTGCCGACTAAAATGGGAAAATAAAATTAAATAGTCAAAATCATAATAATTGTTAGGCTATTATTAAGATAAACATTTTTGTTCAATTAATCTACATAGCTATTAACTTATTATCTAAATTTAGGTAAAAGCAATCGAGGTCTTTTTTTCAAGCTAAAACATCAAGGTAAAACATGAGAAGTGGCTTGATCAGGCCAAACTTTACACCTTATGTTAATACCATTTTCCACACTAGGCCTTATAAGCAATATTTGCTTAATTGCTTGGCCTTTTTGCTTGGGAGATAACTAAATGTGTATAGTAGATGGTTGATATTAACAAAATTCTTTTTGTTGTTTTGTTCCGGTAAATTTTTTAAGCTGAAACATTAATTCACATGGGGCTACAAAAACTAAAAGCCTGCTTACCTGTGTAACATATACCATGTCAGCCACAAGTGCAAAGCCATCTAACTTCAGCTGGGAAATATATGCCTGAAGAAGTACATTCACCTGTAAGTAAAAAGATGATACAATTGAAGAAGCAAGTCCTCAACAATCCTATCACATTATTAGACATCTATGATCTATGTGCATATTCGGGAACAACCGTCATAGTAACAACAACTGTCATAGTAACAACAACCGAAATAGTAACAACTAAAACGCCCTCTCTCAATTACAATTACTTTTTATGCTTCCTTTTACATCAACGCTTCTATTCGTTACGCGTAGAATGGCGGAGAACACTATCCTGCTATTATAAAATCTTTGGTAATATCAATTTTCAGCAGCAACTCATTATAATATTATGTAACAGTTTCATTATAAAATATTTCACATGCGTCTTCAATATTATGAACATCTAAATTCCATTCTTATCTTTCAAGCGGAAATTAACTCTATGAATTTCTCCTGAAAAAAAAACTTCTTATATACGAAAACATAAATTTAATTTGGTATATGGATAAAAGTGATAGCCCACCTTAGCACTAGGTTCCTCAATGCTTTCTTTGACAGGTATTGGCACTCTCTCTAGAAGTTTGTTCAACTCAAGTTTCTCTTCCTAAAGAGTCATAGAAAAAATTGTTATTGAAAATTTTATTAAGCATTCAAACAGTCCTGAGGTTGCATGCAGGTCACACATATAAACATTAAATCACTGTTTGCATTGTAAATATTAAAATAGTAAATAAAGACAATATTAATACTCCATTTTTGGTGATATTTTTTCATTATAATGTAATAATCAAATATTTTTTAATTCTTATGTTGAATAAAATGAGTATATGAATTTTATAATAAAATAATGTACAAAAAAAATCTACCTTTATAATCATATTAGATTTATTTGTTTTCATTTTCTTAAATTGTATAAAATAATGGTACACGTATGTAATTTTTTTTTAGTTTCCAATTATATCTTTTAGCAAATAAATAAAATTATAATGGCATGAATTTACCTCTCTGACAGTGATGTTACGGAACTCCGATGAGAGGGAGAACACTCGAAAGAGTTCTATCTCACTCAGCGTTTGCTTCAGCAGGCTGTTGTACGTGGACATACTTTCATGGGTACAATAGTAATGGCTAGCAATACGACCAAGCTCAGTAACCTAGGAAACAAAATATACACAAACATTTAATACACCAATAAAATATGCACAAACATTTAATACACCAATAAAATATGCACAAACATTTAATACACCAATAAAATATGCACAAACATTTAATACACCAATAAAATATGCACAAACATTTAATACACAAATAAAATATGCAACATTAAAACGAAACTAAAAATGTGAGCTATTATGACAAAATGAGTCTTGTGATACACCAGGTCAATTTTATTTATTCAAGAGAATATATCTGGAGTGATACTTTGACAAAAATCGAGTTTCAATTTTTCTGATAAGTTTATTATGTATATTTCACACTAGCAAAAGTTCTCAGTTAAGTTACCTAATGTAATTTTTGTAAAAAACACATTTTGTAAAGCTTTCTTTCAGAATTGATAGGAAAATCAACACACACAATTTATCAGTTGTTTATCTTTAGAGGCAATTTTCTCTTAAGTATTTTTTTTAGACATCTGAGCTTTATTAATAATGATTCTACTCTTTTTACACTTACTCTAGAAACATGATTCAAAGACCAAAATGAAGCTTATATATCAATAACTTATTTTTCGTACCACAAGACTCATTTTGTCACGACAGCTCACAAATGCTCAAATGATATAAGGCTGTCTCAGAAGTTTTGGGTTAAAGCACACTTGTATAACTTTGTTTGCCATTACTGATGAGAAGAGGAGGGGATTGCAATTAAATCAAGTTTGTAGAAATTCAGGCATGAATGAAAAAGAATTTCAGTGGATTTTGGACTAAGGGATTCATCTTATTCTGATGTCTCAAAGGTCCAATTGGCTGATTTGCGAACAGACTTTTATGTTGATAGGTCATACACTATAGTAATTAACTATATGAATCATTCAGCACACACAAATAAATAAAATAAATAACAATAATAATAATAGTAATAATATTTTAACATTTATATAGCACTCCTTACCGGAGAAAAAAAAAAAATAAATAAATGCAACGATGAGGATGATATCAACACATACATAATGATAATCAAGATTTAAAAATGAATTAAAAATAAAAATATTTAAACCAAAAAAATGATAGGCTATAAATGACAAAAGGGACATTTAATGGTATTTACCATTTGCTAAAATTGCTAGTTTTTGAAAGTTTTCCTCATCAATGAAAGATGAAATATTATTGCCTTTAAACAAATTATAGCAAATAATTTCAAAACAATTACCTGAAAATTGCCAGACTTTTTGTCGTATTTAATAAGGTTGTTCTTGTCGAGGATAGAAGCAGCCGTATGGATGAGATCAATACGTCGCTGTTCCAAGTACTCATCTCGCTCCTGGTCATCGCCATCTACCCCATACAGCGCTGGTGACCGCATCATACGGATGTACAGATAGGTGTAGCCAAGCCAATTAACAGCGTCACGCATCGTCTGAATTGTGCCAAGCACCACCTCTGCGTTTAGGTTGTCTGCTAATTTAGAGATAAACTGGCTCTCTACTGGCAGCTACAAAAAAGATATATATTTAATTGTTGTCTTGAAATATCATCACAGAAAGCTTGTAACAACACGTTCTTCAACAACGCCATAGACAGCCACAAGTTAAGCAAAACAACAACATAAGAGTAAGCAATAAACATTCAATATCCAACAAGTCATTGCTAATTATTTAATTACGTAGTTGTATGGGTCATGGTAGAAGCATCCTTATTGCAGCCCACAGGCAATGCAAATTCTAACAGCCCCCACAAGGTATACAAAGAATACTTGTATCACCAAATCATCATGCCTAACCTAGACCAGAGCGGATCCTTTCTAGGGCCTGCTCTTATAGTCATATCTGCAAAAATCAGAAGAAGAAGGTGTAAAAATTTGAATATATACAATACAATTTAAATTTAATACTTGATGCTATTTTCTTTTGTTCTCATTTATGGCCCCAGAAGAACACCTCCTTTTAACTTTGAACTATTTACTAATTCAAGAACAAAGCTGGTAAAAAACCATGAAAACCCAGTCCCAAAATGTTCTATAATTGCAGTGAAGACCAAATCATGAGGAAAATCTCAACTGACGAACACATAATTTGGAGCCCCAAGTGGCAAAATTTGCACTATAAACAGATGTGTATTAGGAATGCTAAACCTGGCATATGAACCTGTTAGCTAAGCACAATTTGCTTGTGTACGGTGGGCTTTATGTGCTATTGTACCAGACACAAACTTTATATTATAGAAAAATCATTATTATTATTATTTGCAGTTATTTAGTTTACCTGTTGATTAAGTAGCGAGAGGTAGTATTGTAACTCCCCATGGCTGGTGATCAAAATTCCTTCTCCTTTGGTGTCGTACTGCGGCCGACCTGCACGACCCAACATCTGAAGGATATCCAACGGGCCAAGCTCAACCCAGCGACCTTTATCAGGACTGTACACCTGATGAAATATAAAAATAAATAGAAGTTAAAAATCTTATGTCTTGATAGTGATATTCCTTTAACATTATCAGCCTTGTAGAATTTCATTCCCAATACCTTATCTATTTGGTCTTACCAGTATGCGCTTTTACCTGCCAATAAAATCACAGCTGATACTATCAACTGAGAAAATCCTGGGACAGAGTTAAGGACAGTGGAATTGAAAAACAGGTCCCTTAATAACCAATGCACATGCCCAATCTAGTTCCATTAATTTTTCTGTCATTGAGTGCAATGCGAAGAATATTTTCATTCAATTAAAGATTGACTGTTTTATTCATTTTATAATACACTTTTAAAATTGATCCTTGTCATTTGATATTTTATGAAAAATAAACTTCATAACTTTGCCTTCACCTAAATTTCTTCCAATTAGTAAGTTTAAACACAAACAAAAAACTTTAATACAGTTCAGTTCCATTTTTCCAACAATATTTGACATTTTAGGAAAAAAAAAGTTAGGTCTATCTTTCCTAAGCATGGAACATTCTATCTTCTTTCAACCAATGAAAACATTGTATTAGGTGAAGGCATGCAACGTGACAAAATGAATAGAACAAAAAAATGCATGGATGGAACTAAATTTTTATGAGTGACGAAATGGTGTAAGTAACCAATGTCACCAATTGGATGAGTGATCCCACCACTGCTTATTACTTTACAAAACTTCATCTCTTCCTTAATTAAAATTCTTACTTGTGTTCCTTTAATAATGACAGTATGAGCTGGAAGGTTGACACCCCAGGCAAGCGTCGCTGTCGACACCAGAACCTGAATGTGCCTGTCAGCAAACAGATCTTCAACCAAGGACCTATCAAGCCTGTTCATCCCGGCATGATGGATGGCAAATCCATAAGGAAGGAGATCCTTTAATTCAAGATTCTGCATTGAAAGAAAAAAATATTTGTGTCAAAAATATAATGAAAGCAGCCTCAAATAAGGCCAAAAAAAAAAAAAAAATTCTTGTGTTGGCCACGTTTTGGGAAAATCCAAAAAATGGGTAGGTCGGTAGCAAAGGTTGATTTTTTTCGCCAAAAATGTGTTTATGCCGAAAAAGTAGAAAACACACAAAAATACAACAGAGACCATTTTTAAATCTATATTTTAAAGCAAAACAATCGCATAACACTTTTGCATCACCCAATGTCCAGCAAGATAGTTTTATTACAACCTATTTAGCTCTTTAAAAAAAAAATACTTTGTTGTAGTCAAGAAAAAACAAAAATGCTGAGCCTAAATTTTGTACAATTTGGGTCAGTCGGGGCGTGGCCAACACAATAATTTGTTTTATTTGTCATAAACCAAGTTATGTTGGAAACTTAGCTAACATATAATATTCAATTAATTTTATATATCAAATATTACTAGATTATAAACATAGGCCAAATGTTGATATTGTATATTACATATTTTCTATTTTAATTAGTCTTGGGAGAGACAAATGAGGTTTATACTTTCTAAAAATAATGTATTTGCTGATTTATGAACTTGTTTTAATTAGCATTAGAAATGCATCAGTCATACCAATTTGAATGGCAAAATTTTTTCCAGCACAAATGTGAAAGGCATATATGGAGCTTGCCATGCCAAAGTCAGCGTCAGTGTCCAAACCATGAAAATTGACTTTTTAATATATTCATAAAAGCTTAAAAATTATAGGTCATCTACTTGAAATGACTTACTATTTGCTGAAGTTACGAGTAAAAGTATTACGGCTTCATCTCTGTACAAAAGTATACAATACTGCATGAGCGTGCAAGGTGTTGGACTTCCGATCGTGAGATCGGGAGTACGATCGGGAGTTTGAGAACCACGCTTGTCGCATTGCTTGTGTCCTTGGGCAGAGGCACTTTACTTACGTTTGGCTCTCTTCAGCCAGGAGTATAAATAAATACCTGGTAGGATGATGTGGCAGTGCAAGTATTAGATTAGGAATACTCCCCAGGGAGTGAAGAAGGTTACACCTTGTGCTGGTGTGATCATGGATCCGATGACCAGGGGTAATAATAACAACATTGCCAGAGCCTTGTATCTCTTGGCAAAAGGCATGGTATAAATCTCTACATTATTTACTGAGTTTAGCGACAGTGTGCTGGTTTTAGGATGACAAGCTTCATACGAATAGCAATCTAGGAAGCACTCACCTCTGCGTGGTCACTCTCAGCTCTCAACACCTCAGTGGAGGCTGAACCTTCACGAAGGAACTGACCTAGCGTGTCATGCTCTAAGCACATGTCACGTATGGCTCTGGCTGTCTTACCGGTCTCTTTACGCGAGTGTACAAACACAAGAACCTGTTGTACAAAAATAATTAAAAAAATAAATAGGGTTTACTCAACTCTCATGTCATTATATAACGTAATATTTAATGACAATAATTATAACAATAATCACATTCAGATAATTGGAAAATATTTTTTGTTAGTTTTTGTAGAAAACAAAGAACATAATTAAATTAATTATAATATAATGTAGCAGGAACTGTACAAAACAGGAAGAAAAAGGTACACAGAGGAAAGAGTGGGGAAAAAAGTGAGATGAATAACTTTTGTTTCTATTCGCACATCTAGTGTACCTGATTTTTGCCAGCATGATCCATCACTTTTTCGTAAACAATTTCATTCATTAGCTGGAAACGCTTCAGAGCTTTCTTTTCTGTGATACCAACATACTGCTGCTCAAGAGGCACCGGTCGGAAACTGTTGTCAAAGAAGAACAACCCCTTGTCGGGTTTGACACGCAAGAATGTCGCCACATCTTGATAGTTTGGTAGCGTGGCGCTGAGTCCAACCAATCGCACCTCCTCTTGTGACGTCTCAATGTTACGGATGGTTCTGAAATTTAATTAAAAGAAAATTATTCCAATTGCTTGTTTAGTACTCTTTAATAGGCTCTACTAACACTAAAGCCAGCCATGGGCACTTGCTGCCCCCTCTGCTCTCTGTGAGCACTTGATGACTCGACACTGTCTGCTGATATGTTGGTGTCAGTAGATGGTCATTAAAAATTAGTTGTTGCGCATTCACTGCCGCACAGTGTCCTCTATGGAATCAAGTGGGCCTACGACCATCAAGAGCAGTGTGCACCCAGCTTAACCAATCCAGTCGTCATTCTTAACTACAGGAATAGATCTTTTGGATGTTTAACTAAAGATTTGTCAAGTGAACTGAGTACAGGCCTCAAGATAAGGTACCTGAGGTCTGCTCTTTTGTTGCTTGGTTACTGTTCCTCCTTCTATTACACAATCAACCAATGAAATGATAGTTTGCAGTTTAATGTCAGGAGGATTTGGGCTGTAAAATTGTGCAATGTGTTTACTGAATTGTACAGTATAGAAAAAAGGCAATGACTGTTTCTGAAGAGTCGATCAAAAGTACATGTTACGTTTACGCTATTGTTTGGCGAGGCTTAGCAGAAAGACCCATTGGGAAATAGCATTAACTAAAATTGACAAGAAATCTAATTCAAGTTAGGTCTTTAAATTTCGGAACCAAAACCTATACCAACTATATATAGTAATGTAATGGCCAGACACTTTTGCACGTATTGTTCTCAGAAAACACAGTATAGATAAATGGTATACATAATTGCTGATAAATGGGATGGGAAGCTTAGGTATTGATTCTTTACCTTGCAATAACAGATTCCAATACAGGTCCTCGGTCATCATGCAACAGGTGGATCTCATCCTGTAAAGATATTAATATAATATTTCAATGTTGACTTTTGTGGGGTTTCTATTGTAAGTATTCAGTTATTACTTGGTACTAAATAAAGGAATAGAAAAAAAAAGAAAAAAAGATTGACTGCATTAGAAACTTTATAAATACGTAAATAAGCCATGATGGTGTAGACTTTACATTTTAGGTTATGATACAAACATATAATACTTCAGTTTTACTGTTTGTATTATTGGTTAAATATTTTAAACCAAAACTTATATTTGAAAACCCTACTTACAATAATGATAAGGCGGACTAGTTGAGTGTAAGTCTTCTCTCCTCCTTTCCGAGTAATAATGTCCCACTTCTCTGGTGTGCAAACAATGATTTGTGTGCCGTGAATCTGATCCTTGCTCAGTTGGTGGTCGCCTGTCAACTCGGACACGGTAATGCCATACGTACTGAGCCTCTGAAATAATACAATGGTTAACAGTTGAAAAAAGGTATCATGTACTGCAATGCATTATGGGATAAATCCACATGAGAGACCATGATATAAAAGATATCATGTTTTGCCCTGAACAGTATCCAGCTGTAAGAACCTACTAGACTAGGCATTAGATGGCTGAAGTTCAACCTCAGATTCCCCTATGCCTATGGAATTAATTATCTTCCTGTAATTCCAACATTACCTCCCATATGCTCCTTTATGATATGATCACCTCATGTTTATTTGTTATCTGTTATGTGTGAAAGATCATATTGAATAAAACAAATTAAATAAAAAATACCTCAACCACTATATATTATGTGTTTCCCAAAATAAAGGTAAACATTCTTGCCAGCCCAAATCATTTATGCTATTTGTATTGACAATTAATATATTACAAAAAACCTAATGAATATATTTCAAATTAATATATACCTTATTGAAGTTGCCAACCATCTCCTGTACAAGCGATCTCATTGGTGCAATGTAGATAATCTTGAAGGCATCTACGTTAATGGTACCATCCATGTTAATGTTTCTGCCAATCTCTCGAAGAATGGTCAGTAGGGCCACATTTGTTTTACCAGCTCCCTACAAAGTCAATATAATGAATATTTTATGTAAAATTATAAATATCAGCAGTGTTATTTTGTCTGTGAGTGAGATACCAGAAAACACAGATAACTTCAATCTAAAAACTCAATAGCTCATATCAAAAAAAGTCAATGTAATCAATATGAGCTTTCTCATTTTCATTAGACCTCAGAGATATGGGAGAATATATGTACAAACTAAAGATACATGTTAACCCACTATAGAAACTTTCAAGACAATTACTTACTTAATAAATGACAATAATAAATAATTTTAAAGGACTAACAATTAATGATATCAAAATAACATCAATAATATCCTAGATTAATTATGGTTTTACATTCGTAATTCATAATACAAATAAAATAGTTTAATGCATTAAACAATGATTACTACACATACCGTTGGGGCGCACAACAGAATATTCTCGTCACTCTCCATGGCCGTTTTGTAGAGTCGACTCTGGATTCGGTTCAAACTCTTAAAACCCTCAAACGCGGGCTGGGCATATTTTGGTAGACGTTCAATGGCAACCAAAGACTGAAATTTGGACAAGAAACATTCATTATTAAAGCCACATAGCAAAAGAATTAGGCAAAGGCATAAGTTAACTAGAGCATTCACTCCATAGATTGGATACCTCCACTCTGTGCCTGAAAAACGAACAATACAGAGGTATATGTATGATTGATTCCATTATTTTCTTTTATGCTCGAGTGTTAAAAAAAAAAGGAATTTCATTGACCTCCACTTTGTCCATACACCTTTTATTCTCAAAATTTATCCATCTCTTTCTTAGATTATTATTTACAATTCCACTAAATTTTATGATGATCCATTTCTTAGTTTTTGCATAATCTTGCTAACCGACAGACAGGGGTGAATACACAACGTCTGTGGGTGAGCTAATTATGTGAAATGATAATAATACAAATATACTTTAAAAAGCAAACCTCATTTTCTTCAAATGGCTTTGGTTTGAGTGCTGGTACGTGGACCTCCTCGTAGCCCTTGCGTTCTTTCCTGAAGGACCCGTCGGGCAAGTGGCAGCGCTTGTTAGCCATCATGTGTCCTCCTTGGGTAAATACCAGATCATCAATTTCTAATACCTGTTTAGGAACCATTGTCTGCAACAAATATAATGATGATGATTAATGACGATCATTGAACTGCAAAGATAAATCTGCCTACCAATTACTGGTCAACAGAAAATCAACAAAATTATCAATTAAACAAAATTCAAATTCATGATTTAATAGTTTAACAGTCAGTTAAAGCATCGAAGTCATGAATGATTTCAATTTCAATTTATGTCAATCACAAATGGCGGTGACAGGACTGAATTGCTTGTTATGTAATATTTTAAAATGTATACAAGTTAAGTACCAAAAGAAAAAGCCAATGAAAAGTTAAACATTGTGTTTCAATAAATGCATCTAAAATACTTATAAAATTGAAGTTGATACTAAATATGTTGGGGTTTTTTTTTTATCTATGATAATTTTATTCTTTTTACTTGAGTTTGGAAAGTTAAGTTTCTATTACAAATATTATCATATTATTATACATCTTCAATCAGTGAAGTTACAATATGTGGTAAAGACAAGCCAAACCAGCCACTCGTTGCAAAAATTTTGAGTTTTTATACAGGGTGAAAGATGAAAATGAGAGTTTTAAATTGGTAAAAGAATCATTTAAATCCGACACTTCCTTATGAAGTTACAGGAGTTTAAACATACACCTGTTTAATGAACAATATTTTAGAAATCAGCCTTCAAAGTTCATGATTTTGGGCTTTTCTCAGGCAGAACCATCACCAAATTGTTAAAAATTGTTGTTTTAACACTGAAAATGGGGAAAATAACAGCATGTCATAGTGTACAGATATATAAAGGTTAGTTTAGTGCAATAAAATAGATTAAAAAAATGTTGACATTCCAGCGTGTTTTGGCCATTATCTCTGAAACATGATTTGCGACAAGTGACTGGTTTGGCTTGTCTTTGCCGCACATCATTAGGCAGAATTAAGTTTGTTGAGGCATCAGGTTTTCCATTAGGACAATGAAGTGAATCCCAGTTTTACGCTCTTTAGTAAATGATGTTTTTAAACATCAATTTAGGTAGTTATTCAATTTTGGCACATGGAAATTACAAGGTGAAATATATAAAAGCAGAAAATAATGCCACACAGGGTTCACATCAAGGCTCAGCATCTTGAGTTCAGCATCTTGAACTCACCGATTCCTGATCAGTTTCCATGGCTTCTTCTATGTCAGCATCCACCTTTGATTTTCTGGCAGCCATTTTCCTTGCTCTTTCTTCCCTCACTAAATCTTCCTGGTCTGTTTCTGTCAATCGCTCCAGAATTATGGCAAGTTCAGGGGTCACTTTCATTTTCTCCTCAATTTTTGTCCGTTCCAAATCATTCTGAGCTTTGGCCAAAAGTGTGCAATAAAGAACTGCAATATATAAAAAAAAAAGAAATATACATATTAACATAATTTTTTTTAAATTCTTTTGAGACTACAACAAAAAAAATCCTTTAAGAGTGTTTTGTATGAGAAGTACATTCTTGATCAAATAATGGTCCATCATTATTCTAATCACATTATTGGTATTAGTTCACAGCAACAACTTTCTGAGTCTAGGATAACTCTCCAGCTTCTAAGAGCTGCTTCCATGTTGTAGACTGGATACCTCTGACTCCTTTAATATACAACATCTAATAAAAAACAATCTTAAGAAGACAACCATGCTTATAGACTAGCTGCCCAATCTCTTTGTGCTGTTTATTAATTTATCAATAAAAACCACTCCAAAATTTATTTTTAAGATCGTACTTAAGTATAAAGTTAAGTATATTTATCTTATATTTTTCTCAATATTGATGACAACAAATTTATTGGTTAAAAGTGCTCCACCACCGTCTGTAATACAAATTTTTTTTGTACTTACTCATCAGACGATGTTGCCGCAAAATTTTGATAAAGTGAAATTGCTCATGCCCAAGCAACATTACCAACTGGTTCTCACACTGGCCATCACTTACACCAGACTGCAAAAAAACAAAACAAACTCAGTTATTAAATAATTCAAGCTCTTTTAATATTGTTTTACATAATACAAAAAAAAAAAAAAAAAAAAAAAAAAAAAAAAAAAAAAAAAAAAAAAAAATGTGTGCAAATTGGAACTAAAAACAATTTTGGGTACATAATCACATTATTTTACAATATAAAATATAAAGTAAAAAATGCTATAATGCTCTAAAATGTTTCAACATTAATTTTTAATGTACTTTGACCGTAGCAATTCTGAAATGTTTAGGTCAAGTATGCTATCTTCAGTAGTATATCTACCTTCCTACTTATATTCACAAACATTAGGATTTGTCCTAAATTGCTATTAAATCAATGATATTGTCAAATAAATTGCAATAAAACTGTATCTTTGTAGAGGGTTCTACTTAAGCCTGGTTTGCAAAGAATCACTACACAGTCGCTATAGCATTTTTCATTGCAATCCTTGCACTGTGTAAGTAAAGTCCTCCATGATGACCTACCGTATGGGTCGATGAACAAGACATTACAAACTACAATGTAAATATACCATCTAGTATAGAACCAACTACAGATTTATAATTTTAAGATGTTTTCAACAGAAAATAAATACATTTAAAAATATCACAATTTTTTTTATTAATATGAAAAAGTTGAGCACAAGCTACCAGATTTATGTCTGTCAAACGCGACAGTCAATGAATGACTAGACTTTTTATAGTGCTGGCTTGATTCAAACATCTGATTAAACAATGATATTTATCATTGATTATTGGAAATTTGGTAATTTGGCAGATATAGAAATTGACAAGAACGTGTTATCATAACGAATACGCAGTATGTTCCTAAATACTTGTATCTTTCTGACGATCAAAAGAGAATGTAAATTTTCTTATAAAATTTACAAATGATTTCATTGATGTATGGGGTTTTACCTGTAAAATTGAGAGGACTTCATTAGATCGTTGCTGCGACACATTGGGGTCGTCGTAAAATTTGCTCAGTTCTTTCTGCAGCCAATAGGCACCGATATCCCTTGGGTGCAGTCCCTTTTCAGTCTTGGACAATAGGTCATCTCCACCACCTAACTGCAACACACACACACAAAAAAATTACCTTTTCATTTATTTACTTCATTTTATTATCAACATTACTATAAAAAAAAAATGGTATATAATTTTCTTTACATTTTTATTATCTAATCATGTGTAGGTGATTTCTGTCTAAGAAGACAATGTCTTCTGTCAATTTTGTTTTATTCCTGTTGTGCTGCTGTTCAGAGATGGCATTGTAAGCTAGTGACGAAAATACTGATGATGATGGTGTTGATGGTGATGACTCTGATGTTAGTGGTACTAATATAGGTGCTGATAGTAACAGCACAAAGTACTGATAAAGGTGTTGATGGTAGTAATGATATTAATAATAATAATAATAATAATAATGTATCTTTATATAGCTCAGACATCCATCTAACATAAGATGCTCAGGGCGCTTGAAATGTAGACAGGACTAGAAACTCGATCGAAGACTTTCTTCGCCCCTAAGGGTCCCTTCATGTCTGTGCTACCCGGTAACCCGGTACCAGCAACTCTCATCGTCCACCATGGGGCCTTTTGTTCCAGTACACCGGGGTATTCCCCTACTCGTCTCGAAGGATGTACTGGGTTCTTTATAGTGCACACGAGCCATTGTATACACTGGGCCTACTGTAGTCCTTATCCGAAAAGACTTGTTCTACCACCAGAACCATAGGCGAGCGTGCCGTGCGAACCAGCACCACTATTTTGGCTGTAGCTTGCGGCGACCCTGATAACCACTCGGACATTTGACTCGCACTCGCACTGATGGTAATAGTACTGAAAATGGTGCTAATGTTATGTACACTGATGTAATGATGTAATTACTGGTGTAATGGTGATAGTAGTGATGTAAGTAGTACTGATAATGGTTCTGATGTTAATAATACTAGTACTCTGACGGTAAAATTACTAACAATTGTCTAAACCCGAAAATCAGATAAACATTTGAATATAATACACTCAAGACCAACTTGATCATATTCACTTACACTTGTTTTGAGGGTGACATCAACGTGAGTGTCCTCAACATCCTCCTCTTCACTCTCGGAGCCTTCCTTCACTTCAACAAAAATAGAATCTCCTTCCTGTCAAAGACAAAATAATATTAATGAATATCAAATAAATGACATGGTAATCGCATAACTCATAATACAGCAACCTCCTTTTATGCTTTAAAAATATATTGTATTTCCCCTCCCAACCCTAACCTCAAAAGTGTAAAAAAAAAGATGCAATTCATAATATATATATATATTCTGTTTTATAACAAATTTTAAAATCCTGTTAATGATTAATTCCCAGTACAAATTCATCCCAGTTCAGTAGAAAGAACAAAGAGTGTTTTGTTTTACTAATAAATATAAACTACTTCTATTCATACAGCTATACATACATTTTAATATAGTGTATTTTCTTATATAAAATGCAATTTTCACTAGATTCTATTTTGATATTTTACCTTTGATAATATACTTGAGGTGGGATGTTCATAGAGGTGTTTGACACCTATTCATCCATAAGATTCATTTTATTTACTCTTTTGTATGTGTAATATTTTGTCTGTGAACTTTCTAGTGATAACAAAATATAAAAGTTGGTACTAACCTCATCATCTGATTCTTGAAACTGGACATTTATGCCAAGGGTATCATCAATATCTTCATCTGAATTAAATGAACACAACTTGAGTTATTAAAATTGTATTGAAAATGACATTGGTACTTGTAAACTAACAATAGATAATTAAATACAGATTTAAAATGTATTAATCTGTGCATAATTGTAATCTTTCTTTCCAAAGACGAAGACAATGATATAAATAATGTCAACAATAATAATAGCGTTGACTTAGGGTACAATTACAATTGGTGATAATGACAATAGGCCTAATGACAGTAGTACTTACTGTGCATATTTGTAATATCCAAAATTAATAAATAGTTATAAAATAATGATGATAAACAACCTCAAACTAATTTGAAATGTTTGCTAGGAAGGTGTGACTTACCTATTGGTTTTTGGTTTTTTTCTGTGGTGAAATCTGTGATTTTCTTGCCCAAGTTGACAAGCAGTGCAAACCTTTCTTCTGCCAAGCTTCCTAAGAGTCCCTCCAGTTCCCTCTTTTTGTCTTTCCCACGGGTTACTTCCGACTTCAGGGTAGCTAGTACCTCATCTGCAGCTCCACACAATATGTCGCGAGGCTTTATGGAAAGAGGTAACAAAGGTGAACACAATCATCATCATAAATTGTTATACTTTCTTTTGGTCACCCAACACTAATACAGAATACAGATACAACTTGTATCTTATGGGCTTTCTCTGATTTTCCACAATTAAACAAATATATAGAAAGTATTTAACAACCCCATTACATTATTGAACTGGTAGCAGTGATGGCGCCAGCAGGGAGGCAGTTCCCCCCCCCCCAACCCGCCGGCTAAACACGCCCGTACCCCTGTGGTCCGACGCCACAATTTTGTGGAACCAAAAATAATATTTTGGCAATCCAAATAACGATAATTTGATTGCCAATCCTTAATATTGTGGTCTAAAAGTGCAATTTGGGACATACAAAGCCATAAACACTCTCCCTGTGAACCAAACCATCATTTTTATTCCAGGAACCTGACTAACTGAAGTAAGGACATTTTGGACCCGGTCGGACATTTTGGATTCCATCGGACATTTAGGACCTCGTCGGACATTTTGGATTCTGTCAGCAAATTTCTGGATAGTAGCTGTGGTGGGCGTAGATAAAAATCAACATACCTGGTCTCCAATAGCAGCCTGAATGAAGCTAAGCAAGGCCTCATAAGTAACTTTAGTTGCCGGTGTTTTCGGTTTATAGAAGATGCCACCCAAGTCCTCAATGCCTTCAGACAATAAGGTTTGTCCTTTAAATTTCTCTATGTCATATTTTGAGTCCTCTTTCTTTTTTCTGAATGAAATAAAATGAAGAATAATAAATTTGGAAGTAAAAATCCTCAACTCACTCAATTATATATACATTTTATGGAATATTGGTTCAGAATTATTATTTTTTCTGTTTAAATATTACCATTTGTTCTGATATATCAATTGAATATTATTTCCACTGGTTCTGATACTAATTATAACTGCACTGACTTGTTCTATTGACCTCTGGTTGGCTTAAGCCCAGACACAAGCCCTGAGAAATCAAAATAAAAAAAAACACCACTAATCAAGGCTTATATTAAACACCGAATTGAACTTACTTCGCGCGTCTTTCTTCAGGCAAAGGAGGCTTAGCACGTTTAGCCTTGTCACCCATAGTTGTACCTAAAAGTTTCCCACTGAGGGACATAACTTCACCTGTCGGCTCATCTCTGCGCCGTTTCTCAAGAAGTCTCAAGTCAGCTTGAAGTACAAGATTAGAGTTCTAGTAGGAAAAAGAACCACAACTATAAATATAAAACTATACAATGCAAAAATATTTGAACTAGGCCTACGGTTAAATTAATACAATATAAACATTAAAGTCGTAGAAGATTATAATGAGTTGCATGACATAAATGTGAATGAGTTGAAATATAATTGACGGAAAAAAAGATATAAGACAACCTGGTTACAGTACAGTGTAAAATTCTTTGAAAGAGCCAGAAAATTGGGATTATTGAAATTCTATCTTGGGAATTTTAATTTTTGCCAGTGGTCTCACTGTTAGAAAGGGCTTCGGACCTACGGACCTGGCCTTTCCATGGTCCTGCAAAAACAATGTACAATAACAACAAACAAAAAGATACGGTTACCAGCACACTATAATATAAAATAGTTAACACTTTAGTGGAAAACTATCCCTCGTCGGACACCAACCCAGTACTTTTCAGTCAAAGTTTTGGGGCCAGGAATTACCATTGAACTTTAAACTACATCACTTAACTATACAATAATAGTAAAAACTATTCCTCGCCGGACACCAACCTGGTATTTATGATTCAAGGAATCGCAGCCAGGATTACAATTTTTATCTTACTGTAACTACAAAATTTAGAGCATCAGGGAATTCCAGCGGGATGGTAAAACTACTCCCCGCCGCACACTATCCCGGTATTTCTGAATCAAGGTTTCGGGGCTTATAAAATTAAATAACCCATGTGAATGTCAAATCCAGAAATCCTTTCAGTCTACAAGGACCATCATCCCTCTTTTCTGGGCTGGCTCAAAACACGCCAAACACCCATTGTTGAGGCCTCAACCTCCCACAGATATTTTTTTTCGTCTTGCTAATAGAGACTCGTCAATCTCTACAATCACCCCTGGTCCTCCAACTTGCTGTGGGTGATTTAGGAAGTAAGATACAGAGACATCCCTACAAAATTGATTCCCGTCCACGATTGTATGTTGGGAACCAATGTTCAGTTCATGCATTAAAAGTCCTGCGACAGTCCTCTGGGTCTACCACAATTCGTACTCCACAAGTGAGGGCGATGATCTTCCATAAGGCAATCTGTGAACTTTAAAAAAAACTCCCCTTCCGTATGCTTATGGTCTTTTTACAGTTAGGGGTGGGGCAGCGAAAAGTTCGACAATCGATGGATTAATTACATACTCCTTCTTGACAGATGACATTGCATCACATCACATTCATTCATAATTTGTAAGTCGGGACGATATTTAAAATTTATGTTCTTTTTTATATAAGCCAACCCCTCCCATTTCTTTTTCTGACTATTATTCCTACATTGAAGCACAATATTAAGCCTTAATGTTAAGAATTTTTAGTGTAAGTATTATTTGTAATAAATGTTTCAGAAACGCTAATTACATCATGAATAATTAAATGAGCTAATGCTAGTTTTAACTTGAAATTGTCTTTACCTAATTCAGGAATCTCAGAAGGTGTGAAATACCTTGTAGTAATCAAATTCCCACCACAAAAAATGCCTCGTACAATATATGAAGTTCATCATATTCATTACTGTTTGCAAGATGAACGACACGAGATGTAGTTGCGCACAGTCTTAAACTCCCTTGTATTTATATTAGGTTCATGCTATTCCTTACCATTGTGCGCAATTAAAACCAAAATGAATATAATAATGCACAGTGTTAAACTGCCTCGTGTTTCTTAATTTCATCCTACACTGGATATGGTAGCACAGTGTGCACAGCCTCGTATTTATTAAGGTTATCCTATTCCTTATCACTATGTGCGCAAATTGAACCACACAGGGTATAGTAGCGCACAGTGGTTAACTGCCCTGTATATTGATGATTTCATCCTATCAGGCCCGTACAGTACACAGGGTGAGGGGGTGTGCATGCCCACTTGTCGCACCCCGCAAATCAGCAAAGGTCCACATTTTCCGGGGTAGAAGACACACTCTCACACGTTCCAGAAATCCATCACCGAAACTTAAGTCTGAGATCTCCATTTCCGGCCATCTATAGGTGCCATAATCATAAATTTTCCTTTTCTCAACCCACATAGTGGGGCAGCGGCCGGCTGAGGTGGGTGGAACCAGGCCTTTATTTCTGTGTAAAGTCTCTCAATGGATACTTCCTCTATTTTGAATTCCTGAACCTGTTTTGAAGCGACATATTCGCTTCAAAACAACAACAAAGAGATTTATTGCTTTCACACTCTGTTCCCAATCAGATCAGTCGTCTACCCATCTCATCCACGACGTAAAACGCTTGTTAATATTCATATTCGCAATTTCCATTAATTCCATTTATTTATAATATACCAGTAACATTTACATATATGGTAAAGATTTAGCATTTTGAATGCCCATTATATTATAACATTTTTTTAAATGTGCCCTATATAAACCTACATCATTTCTTTTACATATAAATTTATTATGCTTTATTTTCCTTGTACTATACTTTTACATAGTATGTTGACTTTATGCAGTGAAAATCCGAGACACCACGTCGTTGAAAGTGACACCTTTCACATCTAGGATGCTTATGTCCAATTTGAAGGGATTTATTTTACTCTGACCTCGATTTATTTACAATTCTTCAAATTTAATCATTAAATAGATGTTTCCTTAACATAACAACGTTACTATAGACATTTATCGTTGGCCTATCAACATTTTTTATAGACTACAGAACATTGGAAAATAAAAACACTAAATAATGTTTGCTTTCAAAACCAGTGGGGGGGGGGGGGGAGGTTGTGGGGGAAAGCCAGCCAGGGCCCTCCCCCTAAATGGGTAAAAAAGAAAATTATATTGAAATTTTAGGTTTAATATTCAGTTCTCATTGCATCTTCAAAATCTATTAAAAGCTCAAAATATCAAGAACCTCTGAACGTGAGGGTGCTCTATTCACTAGACCCCAGACCCAGAATGGCTTTGTCCTTAGCTCCCCCACTGCCGCCTATTTTGGAGCACTTTCCACAAATTCGCACCCACCCAGTAACAATCCTACGTACGGGCCTGTATTCCTTATCACTGACTGTGCAGAGGTGGAATCAAAATGGATGTAGTGGCGAACAGTGTTAAACTCTTTGTATTAATGAAGTTCATCCTATTCTTTATCACTGTGCGCAATTAAAAAAACCAAACTGGGAATAGGCCTAGGCCTACAGTAGCATAGTAGCGCACAGTGTTAAAATGCCTCGTATTTATAAAGTTTATATTTGATAATAAATTATTATAGGGCCTAGTAGCTTTTGATTTTGGATGTAGTGTGCAAAAGTACATTAGCGCTGCCTAAGATACAGTAAGTTAGGCCTAGAGCCTAGGCCTATTTATACTAAGCCTGGAAGGCCTTAACATCAGCAGCCTGACTAGGCTAGGCCTAGCCTATGCAATGCAGCCTAGGGTAGGCCTAGGCCTAGGCAAAGGCCCAGGGGCAGGCTGGAGACAACAGAAATGAAATAATAAAAATTACCTACTGGTTTCATTTTTAGAAAATCAAAATTAAACAAATACGAATTATGAATCATAAACAAGACCTCCTTATCTTACCGCTTTGTACTCAAACTGCAAGGAACGGGCAGTAGCGTCAGCCATGATGCACGTTGTGTTACCGTATTTTTGTTGAAAAACGCTCCGACGACGACGACGCCGGTGATTAGCAATGCGCCACCAACGAAAATGATGGAAGATGTAAATGCAATGAATGATGTGTGAACGTACATCTGGAAATTTAGAAATGATTGAAAAAAATAAAGAACAACAAAAGACAAAGACAAAAAAAACAAAAAAAAAACAGTGGAGTAACAACAAGAACTACACAATGCACCGTATGTATATATA